GAAGAGAAAAAAATGTGATTTAAAAATGGAAATGGTGTAGCTTTACCCCAGGGTAGGGGGAAAGGCCAGGTGGCATTGGATTGATGAGAAGAAATCTTCCATGGGGATAGCTGGGGAAGGGAAGCCCAGGTAGAGGGAACAAGGAGTATCAATGATTGCTGGTACCAAGAGGAACAGAGCCCTACAGTCAGTGGAGCAGAGTCAGCAAGGGGATGTGGTTGGAGATGTGGTCAGAGAGGCAGGGAGAAGCTAGGTCATGAAGAACCTTGTGAATCTCATTCCAAGGGTGATGGGAAGCAAGCAGGGGGCTGAGGGATAAGCTGAAAGGGACGTTACCTGAGTCCTCCTTAGTCCCGTCATTCTGGGTGCTAAATTTTGGAAACTGGTTTGTAGAGGGATGAGAATGGTGACCAGGTAGGAGGCTGATTCAGACACCCAGACAAGAGAGAACGGTGCTGCACCTACAGTAGGATGGATAGGAAGTGCTAGGAAGGCCACTGCCATCAGCAGCCATGAATCTTTGCTGCTACAATCAGCAAGCATGAATTTCTGTTAAACCCTATTGGCCTTGATGGGTAACCTTTACTTCCAGAGTCTAGCTGCTCATTTGTAGGCTCGGAGAAAGTTGGGTTTATCATCTTCTGATATTACTCAGATTGAGTCTCACGCCCTCCCCAGGCCCCCTCCCCACCCCAGCCTCCCTTCATCTACTTCCCTAACTTGTCTGGTGCTTACCATTCACAAGACGTACTCTTCATCTTACAACATGCTGTCCTGTTCTCTAATTGTTGGTATCACTCAGTCTGGCACTTGAATCCACATTGACTACTGTAAGCTAATGTAGGAAATCACACGCTGTCCCAACTCTTCATGTGTGTGGCTTAGCTCTTAGATCTTGTCTCTGATTCTTGGAGGAGATTCCCGTGGGCCAATCATACCTCCTCCATGAAGGGTGGACAGCGTGGTGCTAGATGCCAGGTGCAGATGGTTTAAGAACTGGGAACCAAGAGAGGGCCTTTCATCTGGAGAACTTCCATCGTCACCCTGTGCACTGGGGACCCTGATGGAAGTAGCGGAGTGCTTCAGAACTGGACCTGATGCATCAATCTCTAGTTAAGGTGACCATTCTCTGGGCAGGGCCTTTGCTATCCTGGGGAGAACACTGTCAGGCATTTTCTTCTAAAAGGGCTCAAAATGCTGTAAGAAGTAGTCTGACTTAGTCAAGATTAAAAACTACAAGATGCTCAGGCCTCTTGGGCCAGCGAGAGTAACTGGCCCTCAAAACAAATAGACTGTTACAGACCCCCAGCCAAGGACCTCTCCCACCACAAGGAGGAAAGAAACACTCTGAGCAGAACTCCAGAGCTTGCTGGGGAAGCTGCTCTGCACAGAGCCCGCTCCATGTCTCAGGGAGGCTGCCTTAGCTCAAGAAGTAGCCACACATGGCCCAACGAAGAGCTTCTGCTACACCAAGCAGTCTGGTTGCCCCCCTCCCCCATTGGCCACGCTACACATCCTTTGAATGCAGCTAACACTTCTGGGGAGTAGTGGGGGCGGGGAGGGATTGAGAACCAGAATCTGCAGCCAGACTGCCCAAATTCAGACCATAGGTCTGCCACACACTGGTTGCACCCCGGGGACTTCCTTGCACCCCAATTTCTTTGTCCAGAAAGTGGTCATCATAACAGCTTCCAATGCTTTTTTTTTGAGGATGAAGAAGCTTTAAATTATCATCATGCTCAGGACAATGCCTGGCTAGAAATATTATTCAAGCGTTTTTTACATAATTTTTAATTGTATTTACTCACGTGTATGCATGCATGTGTGTATGCCTTGGGCATTTCTAGGAAGCTTCTAGGAACTGAAAAGATAGGAAATGAGACTCAGTCCTTTCCTTTGAGAAACTCACAGTTTATTTAATAGATAGGCTGGATTTGAGAGCCCTGGCAGAGGAACTGGCGAAATACCTGCAGGAACTGAAGAAACACAGGAAAGGAAGGAAAGAAGGAAGGAAGGCAGAAAGGCAGGAAGGCAGGAAGGAGACAAAGGAGGGAGCAGTGACATCAGAGGCAAGAAAAGAGTCTACTCTAGGCACAGAATAGGATACCAGGTGCTGGGGAAGGTCCTTTACAATAATGGTTCTCGACCTCACCTTGCATTTAAATCACCCAGGGAGCTGTTAAAACCCAGATTTCCAAGCCTCCCTCCAGAGTTTCTGATTCAGTAGGTCTGGGTGGGGTCTGAGAATCTACATTTCTAGTAAATCCCCAGATGATGCTGATGCTGGTCCAGACACCCACTTGGAGAACAGCTGTCCTCCAGAATCAGAGAGAAGCATGGGCACAGACCACAAAAAGCCCTGGCCCCCTCTAGGGAGAGAGTAGATTGGCATGATTGGAGGTGGCAAAAGATAGAGGTGGGCAAAGGAGGCAGGTGTTGTTCCCACAGCCAAGACACTGGGGGTGAATCCTGTCCACTGGGAAAGCCCTTTAGAAGTTTACGGCCTTGGGTGACATGATCAACTTGTAGTTCCAAAACTATCACTCTGGCATCAGCATGCAGAATGGACAGGAACAGGAGACTAGAGAACACAGAACAGCCGTTAGAGGCCAGAGGTCAATACCATGGCTGGAGCAGGTACAGCTGCAGTGTGGGAGGAGGAGAGACACAGGGGTCTTGAGGCACAGGATGGATGGAGCAGATGGACACAGGGTTGTGGGGGAGAAGGAAGGGCTGAAAGCTACTACAGGCTGGTCCACTCTGATGCAGAGATGGAGGAGGTCCTATCCACTAACAAAGAGGAGAAGAGGACAGAAGAGATCTGGGGAGAAGAGAACATCATAAATTCTATTTACTAGGACACTAAGGTATTCATGGTGCCTATTAGGCAGCTAGAAATCCAGCTCTGGAGCTGAACAAAGAAGCCAGGAGTACAGATGAGGGGCTGGATACTCCCAAAAATAGGTCCAGATTCAAATCCAGGCTGTGGTCAGATAGCCAAAGTGGGGGGTGGGAGGGGTGTCTGGCTAGGGGGCAGGGGAATTAACTGAGAAAAAAGCCAGGACAGAAACTTGACTCCCCTTTTTAAAATGGTCTCAGTTGGGGAACCTGGGTGGCTCCATTGGTTAAGTGTCTGGCTCTTGATTTTGTCTAAGCTCATGATCTCAGGGTCCTGGGATTGAGCCCCACATCAGGCTTTCCGCTCATCAGGGAGTCTGCTTCCTCTCTCTCCCTCTGCCCCTCCTTCTGTTTGCTCTCTGTCTCTTAAATAAGTAAGTCTTTAAAAATGAAAAATTAAAAAAAATAAATTAATTTTTAAAAATGAAAATAAAAAAATAAAATGGGCTCAGTGATGGAAAGCAAGGAAGGAGTCAGGAGGAGGAAGGGGTGCAGAAGTTACAGCCCAGCAGGACTTGGCAAAGACTCTACAGCATCCTGGTACTAGCTTATCATCTCTGCAGCATCACAAACCCTTCTGACCTCGCCGCACTGAAGGGAAGGTGTCGGTGCTGCTCATCGTCTATTCCCGGGCCCATTGGCTGCCCTTCCCTGTTTAGCCCAAACCCTGCCAATTACACTTCTCAGGCTCCTTTGCCAACTGGCTTCTGGTTACTTTCTGCCAAAGAGAGGCACTAGCAGGAGACTGGCGGGCAAAGAGCAGCTCCTTCCCCACCCTCCTCTCCATCTCTGCCTTTTTTTCTTTTTAAAGATTTTATTTATTCATGAGAGAAAGAGAGAGGCAGATACATAGGCAGAGGGAGAAGCAGGCTCCACGCAGGGAGCCTGATATGGGATTTGATCACGGGACTCCAGGATCACGCCCTGGGCCAAAGGTGGTGCTAAACTGCTGAGCCACCCGGGCTGCCCCATCTCTGCCTTCTGAGGCTTCTCATCAGACCTGCACTTCTGGGTCCCACCAGGCACCCAGGTCCTAGTGTCTGGTTACAGTCCTTCCTTCCTCTCAGGCCCTCTAGCTTGCTGCTGTTGTTCATCTATGCATTGACCCACCAGCCCATGGGGCTTTTCAGCTCTTCCAATACCTCACAACAATTTCTCGAATGAATTCCCTCTATTGAACTGGCTGGTACGGGCTCTGTGGTCCTGGCTGGTCCCTGATTCATAAGTGTATCATGATACTACATCACATTCTTTCCCTCGAACTCATTTCCATCTTCAGAATCCTATTCAGGCTGGGATTATCCAAGTTGATATTAACAAAAGCTTCCATTTAAAAGTTAAGGGGAAACGTAATTTTAAAAGAAGCAGTAAATGAAGATAAAGGCTGAAATAAATTGTAAAACATAAAGCTGTAGAATGATAAATGAGTTCAAATGCTGTTTTTTTGATAAGACTACTCAAATAAACAAATTTCTGACAAATATAATTAAGGGAACATTTTTTAATTAGAAATGAGGAAGGAGATAGGACAAAATATAGAAAATAGATTTTTTTTCTGCAAATCCAAGGAGGATGTTATTGGCTAATAAGTGAAAATCATCATAAAATGAATAATTTCTAGAAAAATGCAGATTACTAAAAATAACTCAAGAAATATAAATCTAAACAGAATAATAACCAAGGAAGAAATTGAAGAAATTATCTGATAACAATGTAAAAAATGTAGTTGGTCCCAGCATTTCCACAAGAATAATTTTCATACTTTTAAGAAACAGATAATTCCGATGTTGTATAAAACATCCAGAGGGCAAAAAGAGATAAGAGTACCTTCACGTTCATTAGGCAAGCATGATCTTCTTCCTAAAACCTGATAAAGGTAAAAACACACAAAAAGAAAATTATAGTCACATATCACAAGTGAATATGAATAGGAAAAACTTAAATAAAACCTTCACCTCTGAAAAGGAACTTGTTTTACTGTACTGTTTCAGATCTTTAGAGGGAAGATAAGTTCCAGGGGTTTTTGTTGTTGTTGTTGTTGTTGTTGTTGTTGTTGTTGTTTTCTTGTAACAGCTTTACTGAGATATAATTCTTACACCATGAAAATTATGGAACACCTTACAAATGTGTGTCATCCTGGCACAGAGGCCAGGCTAATCTTCTCTGTATCATTCCAACTTTAGCATATGTGCTCCTAAAACAAGCACAAGGGATAATAACTTTATAAGTTAAATTGGAAGAAATTACAAAGGATGGACAGTTTGTACATTTTAGAAATAAATAACCCTTTGGCAAAGCTAGAACTAAAATTAAAGGAAAAATATCATCTGGAGAAAGCATTCACAGAAAATATAAAACAAGTTCATGTAAAGAACTTATGTATATTGACACCAAAAACTTAAATCTCTAAACTGGTGAAGAACTGAAGAAGACAATTCATGAAAACAGAGATGCTACTAGTAAACAAGCATGTGGGGAAATGTTTAGCTTCGCTTGCAGCCAAAGAAATGCCCACTCAAATAATGTTGTAGCATCTTACATACACCCACCACCTTTGAGGAATGTTAGAAATTATTCCATATTACAACACTATGGTAAATCCAGTCCTCGCACACCCCGCTGGTACCCATATGAACTAGTATCGTTCTTGGCATCCATTTTGGGAACCATCTTAAAATTCCATAATGTATCCCTTTCTCCTAAGGAATTTATAAAGAATAAAAAATAAAGGTACATAGGTATTCATGGCAATGTCTCTCTAACAACCTAGATAAATAGATAGATAGGGATCTAAATCCAACAACAGAATTATTAAGGAAGGGTTGTAAAGTATTGTTTGTAACTATAATAAAAATTACAGTTTATCAGCCACCCTCAGATACATTACTTCTTTTGGTCCTAAACAGTCTCAGGAGATAGGTGGGAATTCTTAAGAATCAGAAAAAGTAAGTGACTTGCCCGAAATTGCACAGTTGGTGGCTTTTGAACAACTGCTACCAAATCTCAAGTTCTTGTAATGTGAAAGGGTGGTTATGAGTCTCTGCTCTGAGCCTCGATTTCCTTATCCATAAAAGAGGGTAATACAAGTAGCTAAAGAGTGACTATAAACATTAAATGAAGCTCTTAAATATCTGTAAAGCTCTTAGCACAAGGTTGAGCACACAGCCAGGACTCAAATAATAATATAGGGGTGGTGCAGTCAGGTAAGCAACCCGCTCTTGATCTCAGGTCTCGATTGAGCTCAGGCCGTGAGTTCAAGTCCCACAGTGGGCTCCACGTGCTTGTGGAGCATACTTTAAAAAAAAAAAAGAATGATAATATGAAATTGTACCAATCCAATCCAACTATAGCAATGTAAACATTGCAAGTGGACAAGGCCAAGAGAGAATAAAGAATAATGAAAATCAGTGCAGTGGATAAAGCACTTCTCCTTTTGAATTAATTTGTTTCCAATGCAACAGTTAGAAATCTGGAGGGAAACAAAATTAGAAGATACAAAAATCTAAAATGAAATGGCGTTTTGAGGGGAGCCTAGCATTGAATCTGGGATCACTGCATCTATAGCATTTGAAATACCAAACTCACTACATGTACCCCCTAGGGGCACCATAGGACATGTGGGGCCACTGAAGGGTAGCACCATTTCACTTGACCAAGGAATCAAGGAGGCACGTATTGACCTCAATAATATATTAATGCTAATGATTGTCTTCCTTAAAGATGAACTCTTTTTTTTTTTTCCTTAAAACTGAGACTCAGAAGCATCTCAAGAAAATTCCCAGGTAGCTAGGAATGGATCCAAGTCCACTCCTAATGAACAGCAGCATTTCCAGCAATGCTGCTTGCAGTGAGGAGGGTCATCCACAGGACCAATGAGCATGTGATTACTTCTCCCTTTGGTCATGTGGCCAGAATTTACCCTCAATGAGCAGGAGAGACTTAGCCAGTGTTAATCTCCAGCTTTAAATCTACAAATGAAAATAATTCCAACTACTAGAGAGACAAATGTCAGATCAATGGGAGAAAGTGAGTGGCAGCCTGGGTGACTCAGGGGTTTAGCACCGTCTTCAGCCCAGGGCCTGATCCTGGAGACCTGGGATTGAGTCCCATGTCAGGCTCCCTGTATGGAGCCTGCTTCTCCTTCTGCCTGTGTCTCTGCCTCTCTGCCTCTCTGTCTGTCTGTCTGTCTGTCTGTCTCTCTCTCTCTCTCTCTCTCTCTGTGTGTGTCAGGAATAAATAAAAAATCTTAAAAAAAAATGGGGGAAAGAGCTAGAGGCATTCCTTGGCTTTTCCTCTCCCAAATCAGCAAGGCCTAAAAATCTCCACCTACTACAAAGACATACATGGAAAGTGACTCTGCTGTTAGTTCCTGCACTGTTACAGGCTTATGAAGGACAGATAGGATTAGGTGTAGCCGAGGGATAGAAATGGAATTTATCTAGGCTGTGGTCTCAAGCCTGAATCGTGAACAACTGGCTACATGAGTCAGAACTTATGTGGCTAGTAGATGAGTTCCAGAAAAAGAAGTGACAAGTTCAGCAAAGGATATAAATTAAGAAGGGAAATGTCAGGAGATGACCCAGAACCTGGCATGACCAGAGGCTGAATCACACTGAGATCAAACTTCTATGTCCAAGTACCTACTCCACTTAGGATCTCAAATTTAATATGTCAAACACAAAGCTCCAGTCTTTGCCCTTACCTGCTCTGCCAATAGCCTTTCCATCTCAGGAAAGAGATGCCATCCTGCCAGGCCCTCAGACTCATTTCTTTCACACATTACATCCAATCCATCAGAAAAGCCCAACCATGGGCTCTATCTTCAAGATATACCCAACTCCTCATCATCTTATCACCACCACTAAAACCATCCAGGTCCAAACCATCGTCATTGCTTACCTATCTTCTTATTATAGCCTCTTAACTGGTATCCTCATTTCCACCCAGTATACCACTCAATTCTCAACATAGCAGCCAGAGGGATCCTCTGAAAACCAAAGCAGGATGACACCTTAAAAAAAAAAAACACACAAATCCATCAAAGAACTAATAAATTGGATTTTTGTCAAAATTACAGGGACACCTGGGTGGCTCAGCGGTTTAGCGTCTGCCTTTGGCTCAGGGCGTGATCTCGGAATCCGGGATCAAGTCCCACATCGGGCTCCTTGCATGGAGCCTGCTTCTCCCTCTGTCTGTGTCTCTGTCTCTCTCTCATCGTCTCTCATGAATAAATAAATAAAATCTTTAAAAAAAATTACGATCCACTCTTTGGAAGACATTGTTAAAATAAAATTTAATAAAACAAGCCACAGACTGGGGAAAATATTTGCAAAGCATATATCCAAGAAAGGATTTGTATCCACAATATGCAAAGAACTCTCAAAGTTCAAAAATAAGAAAATAAACAACATAATTTTAAAACTGGGCAGGAGCACTTGGGTGGCTCAGTCAGTTAAGCATCTGACTCTTGATTTCCAACATCACTAATCATTAGGGAAATACAGATCAAAACCACAATGAGGTAATATCTTACACCCATTAGGATAGCTACTATCAAAAAAAAATAACAAATGTACAAAAAAGCAAGCATTTGTTAGGACGTAGAGAAGTCAGAACCCTAGGATGGACACTGTTGGTGGAAAGGTAAAATCGTGCAGCTACTATGGAAAACAATATGGCAGATCCTAAAAAATTAAAAATAAAATTGCCATGTGATCCAGCAATTCTACATCAGGATTTATACCAAAAAAGAATTGAAAGCTGATCTCCAAGAGATATTTAAATATCCATGTTCATAGCAGCATTATTCATAACAGTTATATCATGGAAGCAACTCAAATGTCCATTGACAGATGAATGGATAAACAAAATGTAATATGTACAAACAATGGAACATTATCCATCTCAAACGCTGGAAATTCTGACACCTGCTACAACATGAATGAACCTTAAGGACATTATGCTAAGTGAAATAAGCCAGTCACAAAAAGACAAATACTGTATGATTCCACCTTGATGAGATACCTAGAATGGTCAAGTTAACAGTCAAAAAGTAGGATGGTAAGTGCCAGCAGCTAGGAGGAGGAAATGGAGAGTTGTTGTTTAATGGTATAGAGTACTAGTTTTGCAAGATGATATTGGTCATACAACATAAATGGTCTTAACACTGAGGACCTATATATGTAAAAAAATAGTTAAGATGCCAAATTTTATTATGAGTATTTTACCATAATTAAAACATTTTTAAATTATCAAATTGCACACTTCAAATATGTGTAGTTCACTGTATGTCACTTTTATCTCAATAATGCTGCTTTCAACTTTTTTAATTTAATTAAAATTTTTAAAAGATTTTATTTATTTATTTATGAGAGATACAGAGAGAGAGAGAGAGAGGAAGAGAATAGGCAGAGGGAGAAGCAGGCTCCATGCAGGGAGCCCAATGTAAAACTCGATCCCAGGACTCCAGGATCACGCCCTGAGCCAAAGGCAGATGTTCAACCGCTGAGCCACCCAGGTGTCCAATATATTTTTTTTAACTAAACAGGATCATATCCTTTCTCTGCTCCAAACCTTCCATGGGCTTCCCATTTCTTCAGAGAAAAAGCCAAAGGTGTTGGAAGGAGGCCCTAGATGATCTGGCCCTTTACCTGGGGGAAGGGTCTCTCTCTCTCTCTCTCCTCCCTCTAGCTACCAGGTGTGTTTCCAGGCCATTTGCAGGTCCTATCTGCTTTGCCTGGAAAGCTTTCTCCCCAGGTAAAGTCATGGCTCTCTTCTTCACCTCTCTCAAGTCTTTACTCAAGTGCCACACTCTCTGTAGGGCCTTCCCTGACACTGTATTTACAATTGAAAGGCTTCCTCACAGCATAGGTCCCCATCCCCCTTCCCTGCATTATTTTCCTGCATAACACGGTTTCTATTATCACTGTCTAAAATACCACATTTTACTCATTTATTTTATCTGTGTTTCTACCCACCAGAATTAAGCTCAGAGGGGCATGGACCTTTTAGGGCTTTGTTCATTCATTGTATCCCCACCAACTGGTCCAGTGCCTGGCACATAGTAGATACTTGATAAATTTGTTGAATAAATGAATAAGTGAGTGAATGAATAAACAAAAGAAGGAACATTACGTAACCTTGACAATCAGGTGTAAGGGTTCTTTATGAAGGCAGCCCAACCCACTCTAGAGAGCCGGACACCTGT